CTGTGGCTTGAACCCGTACCTTACTTCTCGTTCGTTTCTGTTTCGACCTAGTTAAACTGGTGCTGTCTCAGCCCGCATACTTGTCATCCAACACAAATAATCTCTTCGAAATGGAACAAGACTAGCTGTAAAACAAAGCCGATATTCCCATTACTGAAAACCTGAAGATATTTAGATAGAATTGATTCTGTGCACTGCCAAATGCTCTAATGTATATTTGAAATGAGCAAAAATGATCAACCTTCATTAATAAACATGTGGATGGAAAAAGCCTGACGAGGTATTTCGTCACCACACTTAGACTAGACAAGATTGCAACTAAGTCTGCTTCCACAGATGAGTACTATCCGATCATGTTAGCAATAAAACCTTTCCAAACTACAAGCCACCAAACGGATGAGCGCAGCTAGCAATTTCCTAAATCAAGTCTGCTTCCACAGATGGGTAATATCTGATCATGTTAGCAAGTGAACCTTTCCAAACCACAAGCCACCAAATGGATGAGCGCAGCTAGCAATTTCCTAAATTTGTCTCATAGTTTAGAGCGATATTTTGTGAGTCAGTCCTCTCAGACTTTTCTTGCAAAGCCAATCAGCCATCTTAAAAGGACCCCTGTTGCCATCCGAAATCTCACATCCTAATTGCCTGAAATCCAGTGGTGTATCTGGCGGTATCCCACCATGTGTACGCCATTTGCCCCATCTATATTTCACCTGAGGCAAAACTCTGTGACAACAGTAAATTCTGAAGAGGGTTCGGGGGTGTAGAATTCAACGCGTTTATGGAATACTTCAGAAATTAGCTAGCAAAAGCATTTAAAAATCCGTTTTCAGTTGTCTTTTTTTAATTTTGGTTAGTTTTATTTTTGGTTCGGTGATTCTCAAATGGAGGCATTTGGGCTGTAAAATTCTTTTGTCGTTGCGGACTATCCATTGTCACTCACAGCTCTCATGATCGTGAATTAGCTAACATTCATTAATTAATGGCTACGAAAAAGTCATCACTGAATTCTACTTGCTGCTGATGCAGGAAAGCTGGACAAGTTGAAAAGCACCAAAAAATGTAAAACTTTAAAAAAACATTCGCTTCCAAAAGAAGTCAGTGGTTTTTATACCCAAAAAATTGGTTAGCCATAGGCTCTTTTTAATAGCTCGCTTGTATCGAGTGTTGACTACTGAATCTTTGCCTGTCCTCTCGGGTTTCGTTGGTGAATTGCCTACAATCTAAAGGTGACCAGGCAGTGCCTGTTTCTGTTTGCTCGAGTGTTTGAAAAACTTCGACATGTCAGCTGTTCCTGGTTCACTTCGCGCGAAGCCATCCCACTGTATACACCAACAACCAACGCTTAGTATGACTAAGTAAGTTCGGTCATATAGCCTCTCCAGCTGAGACACCGACTGACTGGAAGACGCTTTATTCAATCGACCTGAGGAGGAGTTACATAGAACAGAGAACAGTTGGTTTTGATCGTGGTGATGCTGAAGAAAACTAATCCATTTTCTTCTATCTAACTGTCAAGCGATAGAAAAGTTTTGCAAGGCAGACCGTTTAAAAAGAAGCGATGTTCCCGAAAATACAAGTAAAAATCAGAAGTATCATAAGTCTTGAGCTTATTCGTTAGTATGACATCCTATGTAGAAGGGAGTGTTTGCGGTTCATTCCTCGAAACTGTAAACAGTACTCAGAAATGGCACCCGTAAGGCGAAAATCTAAGTGTTGCATTTCCTGACAGTAGTCAAAACGCTGAGTTGTTTTTCAGTACACTTGCGGCATCATCACCGGTGTCCATGGATGAATGACCCTGAGCGCCAAGGCATGAGGTTACCTATACCCGGGAATTGATCTACTGAGGGTCAACAAACGCTGTAACGCTCTTCTGTGCCTAGCGGTTATGGAACCCGAAAGAAGGACGAGCGTTGAGATACAGTTGAGTCGTAGAGACCTAGCAGGAGAAATTAAGATGCCACAGTAGGGTTCAAACCACGGACATTTCGGTCAGTAAGTTCACGCTGTAACCAGTGAACTACCTCAGGCTGAAAATGACAGCATCGCAATAAAACTGTGAAAAGTGATGTAAAACAGACAATGTTAACAAAGTTGTGAGTTGTGAGTCATTTTGAAGCATAAGGGTGCGTCAGATGCATGTGGTCTGCAAACAGTCAAACAATAGTAAAAGATTTGATATTCTTGAAAAAAATGCGGTTATTCAGTCCAGAAGGACTCCTAATTTGTCCTTTTGTGGGCAAGTTTTGACTAATAACTCATGAGAATATGCTTAGGAATTGGGTTCCCATCACAAAGTTGTGGCTATCTCAGCTTTTCTTATTGGTTGGGCTTTGCTTGGAGCCCGGACTCCCAAAGTTGAACACGCATTCGGTATTGTGTTAACTATATCCTGGTTAGCGTGGGGCGATGTTGTTTATGTAGTATGTGATGTTCAAAGTGTGGACAATAATAAGGACATATCATACCAGGCTTTATTATCAGGGTTTTACTGTTTTGAACTTCATTGTCGAGTTGGTACCAACCTATGACGTTCTTTTGGCCGCAAATTACCTTTGGGGTTATTTGCACCACCAATGTGATCCTTGATTATACGTGATGTGGAACCTCAAAGTCACTGTTTGGAGTTCAAGCTGTTTAAAAACACTGAGGAAGTGTCCATAAAATTAGAGTGTAATTTTCCTTGATGGGTGATATACCGGGAGCAGCCCTGAACCCTACCGACCAAGTGGGTCAGAAAGGAACACCATTATTTGTCTCATCTTCTCCACAACCTAAACAAATACGTAAGTCTCAGACACGTTTGGTCACCTTCTTGCCTTATTCAAGATTCGGTAACTTTAAAATTTTGTGCTGTTGGTGATCTATTGTATCTAAATTCCAAATCATGTTTAAGTAACACACCCATACTTGATGCTGGTGTATAGAAAACTGCCACAAAATTCCCACCTGATTATCCTTTGCCGATGTAGGTTCATTCAAGACATGTTGGAAAGGGAAGCAAATTGTGCGCTCTAGCTATGCTGCTTGGTTCACATTTGGTGAATTATTGCCGGTTGTTTTTTAATCTGATTAACCATGGTAAAAACATAACGAATGGATAATTTTAGGAGCTATGTGATGAGCTCTTGCACTTGTGCACGCCAATAATAGCATTGATAGTCACTGAAATGCATCCAGTATCCACTTTTTCCAAGTGATTGTGTGTCAACCTGTTTGAATAGCGGGGCCCCCAACCAACTTAGTGCACTGAACTCCTCTGTGATTGCTAGACATCGTTCCTCCCAGATGACATCTGTTTCATCTGGTCACGATAACACGGAGACACAACAGGGTTCACGTTGACATTCGTCGTATATTTGGGGTTTGTTGGAGCGAAAAATACATAAATTGTTTGACAGATAGGCTACGAAGAAAACGGCGACGATTAATCCCATGTCTTAATCCAAGTGGAAAGGCTCTGGCTGAGAATTGCTACGCACAAATCGATGACTTCGTGGTCGTGTACCCTAACCGCATACCGTCCTTGAAGTGCAGGTTGCCTGCTCAGATTGCAGAGGACTTGTTGGAACTAAACAAATAGCTCAAGTGTCACTCTTTTCAACAGTAATTACCGGTGGCTCTGATTATCTAATTGCTGGGTGCCCTCGAGTTTCTGTGACAAACAGAATGAAACACAGTGGCTCACGGCATGGTCTTGCCTTATGACTCTGAGAAGCAAGCCAAATACGTTCATCTAATTAACGTTCA